TCTGCCTGTTCTGCCTCTGGTGAATCCTCTCACCCTCCGCATCTCTGGCCTGTACCCCAGTTCTATATGAATAAATAAATCTTTAAAAAAAAAAAGTACACCTTTATAATACCATTTAATATTAATTCCCCCCTGCTCTTATTCATAAAGTATTGAAGTCATTCAGGAAATGGGAGACATGTATTATTGAAAGGGAAAAGAAAATGGTCTCTATTTGCAGATGACAAGATTATCTGGTGAATCCCAAGCAACCTGACAATTTTTTTTTTCTTAATCACCTAAATACGTAAGTGAGTCTAGCAGGATACAAAAAGTCAATTACCTGTGTTTATATTAGCAATGACCAAGTGAACATCAAAACTAAAAGTTAAATGCTATTTACAATCATTCAGTGAAAATAAAGTGCTTCAGTGTGAATCTAACAAAACATACAGAATTTATATACTGGAAACTAAAGAAAAACCAACAGCTATAAAACATTCATGCATCTGGAGATTTTCACATAGCAAAAATGTCAATTCTTCCTAGATTAATTACAAGCTTAATGTAGTTCTTATCAAACGCCCACCAACCTGGCATGTAACATTCATGTAAAGATGTATAAACTGATGCCTCAATCATACGCCATGCTGTAAGCCAATATTACTTCAATAAAATAAAATCCCACCAAGATACTTTATTAAAATGTCCCAGTAATTCCAAATTTTAAATGGAAAGGCATAAGAACCATAGTAACTAAAATAATTTTGAAAAAGAATTTCAATTCAGGGCTTCCTCTATAATAAAAGTAATAAAGGCTATGTGATTTTAGTGGATAGGTGGACACACAGATCAATGGAACAAAACAAAGAACCCAGAGATAGACCGCACAAATGTATTGAATTGATTTTTTACAATGGTCCAAAGGCCCTTTCAACAAATGATTGATATGTTGAACTTCCATAGACAAAAAGAATAATAATCTCTATCTAAATCTTGTACAATACAAAAATTTACTCAGAATAGTTTGTGGGCCCTCCCTGGTGGCTCAGCGGGTTAAAGCACAACACAAAGAAGC